TGTTATGATCTCTTAAATTAATTAATTTAAATATCATTAATATTGTAGACTGAGTTGGTTTTTTCATCAAAATTACATTAGAAAATGTAATTGTGTGTATTAAGTATAATAATATAAACTTTTTAAAGGTTAAGAAAATAACTAAAATCATTGTAGGTACTTAAAAAAGATACCAATTGTTGCCTTCATTTGAAGGTATAATATTTATAAAAAAACTGTATATACTATTCATTTTGGTAACTGAATGAACTATTCAACTACCTATTTAAGAGAAACCTTGTATTACATTTTCAAGCTTTTAACTTTTAACCAAGTAATAATTATAGAAAAAACATTTTAATTTAAAATGTCTATAAATAGAAAGTTCAGTCAAAATATTTTGAAAATTTAACTATGTATAAAAATGATAATATTAATATTAGTCGAAAACTTCAACTTTTAAATATCTACGAACGGTTATTCATTTTTATATTACAACAAAATAATAAAAACTTCAATTTATGGGAGAATATCTTAACAAATGTAAAAAAAATGTGACCATATACGATATACCTATTGGAAATTGGAATATTAGGCACCATTTAGTGAGTATTTTAAATATCAAAGGCCATACATTTTTGTATAATACCAAAAAAACTAAATTGACATTGTTAAAAACTGGATATGCATAAAAATCCCAGTTTTTCCTGACGCTTTTGAAAATTACTAAAATTTTTTTTATTAAATAAATAAATTTCTTTCTATTAGAAAAAAAGAAGTTGATTATTGTTACTGACTCAACAAATAAGTAAGGTAAATGGTGTTAGATAGTATCTATCAACCAATTATAAACAGTCAACTAGACAATCACTATATAACACCAAAATATAATTTTAGTATTTTACGTTTATAGTGATAAACTATAAACCACAAATAAAGACATGATACAATAGGTATAGATTATGACAAAAAAAAAAAATAAATAAATAATAAATCATAAAAACTATACAATATTCAATATTGTATCTGTGTAATACTTTGTTTAAAAATTGTATCAAAGGCCAAACTGCCAAACCCAATAGGATGAATATTATGATGCATTGATGGGTAGATAAAATCAATTAACATTTTTTTTTTTTAGGTGGGTACCTATTTTTAACTTTAAGACATTTATTACATTTTTTTAATTAGAATAAAATAGAAAAGATGTTACTTAAGAAATTTGATATTATACACATTAGAGTTTAAGTAGGAATATACAAATATCATTAGTTTATAATTAATTAATTTCAAGTTTCATGTTGGTGTATGTATTGTTTAGTAATTGACTGTTAGTATTTGGGATTAGGATGATACAAAGGTAGAGCTTATGTCATATTATACTTATATTACCACACGTACATTATACATTTGTACTTATGTTATTAAACTGGTAAAAAAAAAATTATTTATTCAACTATTAGTAAAAAAATTAGTATATTCCCAGAGATGATTGGGAGTATGTACAAGAAGTACACATTGTAATAATTACTACCTACAATAGTGTAKAAGTGTAATGTTGTTTTTGATAACTTTTTATGTTTGAAACCCATGCATTTACATTTTGAACACAAAATTTTTTGATGATCAATGTTTAGATTTGGATTAAACTTCTTCATTCTTTTAAAATRAATCATTGTAACTTTTCCTTTCACTTTAATTAATGAGTATTCACAGAGAAAAAAATATTTGTAAATGACAATATTAATGTAAAACTATTTATTATAGAATAGTCTAAACTCTGGAACATCATCAAAATACTGATTGCATGATATATACAACAATAGTGATATTATTTTTAAATAGGAGCATACATATTTAGTAACATTCTTATAATATTTAAGTTTGGTACCAACATTACTATGATTTTTGATTTAATTTTTAAATCAGCTGCCTGATTTAATTTGAAATATTGTTTTCTACTGATTTAAAGGAGCAAAAATAAATGAACCTACTATATTATAGTCATAACCAGTTAATATGAACAATTTAATTATTTGCAAAAAAACAAATACATTTTGATGTTCTTGAAGAATAGGCAGCAGATTCTATAAGGTTATATAGGCACTAAAATTATTACAAATATATAGTAAGTACAAATTTATAACAGAATAATAGATTTTATAATTTAAAACTTATTGTTAATGTTAATCATACACTATATATAGGTATTTAAAAACATGTTATTTAATTGCATTCAAATTTACCGTTGGTAAATTCCCTAATAAAATGAAAAATTAAGTCCATACCTTTGCACATTTATAAAATAAGGTATAATGATGTTATAAACACAAATGTATCATCATGTAGGTGATACATTTACGTTACCTATATAATACCATTTTTTACTTTTAGGTCACAAGGTTTATAGGAGTTTTTTAATGGTAGTTATTGATTTTCATATATTTTATGTGGGCGCTATTCTGCTAAAAATATAATAACTGAATAGTCCGAACCGAATAAATTTAAATTATCATTATTTATTTCATCCTTTTAATGGATGGTTTATAACATTGCCCAGTTATGTAGCTTGAGAGATTGTCAAAAAATAGTACATCTATTAAAGATTATCTCGAGTGCTACATTAAAAAAATAAAATCATCTTTATGGAATTTGTCATTCTAAACAATTCAATATTTTCCTTATTAATATTTAATAGTCATTAAGTGACATGACTTCAATAGAGATCATGGATAAAAGTTAGTTAGGAACAATATAAATTGAGATAATTTTTACTAGGGGTTAACTCTTGAGAAACTAAAAAAATATAGAGCAATACTGCAATAGTACTTAATTATTCTTATCAAAAACTTATTTTTATAAAAATTAGGAAATCAATTTTTTTTACAACCAATGATATTATTATTTAATTAATTAATTGATAGTTTCTAACTGTGTCAGACGTCAATAATAAGTAATATTAGTAATAATGACTCCAATACATACCAAAATTTAACAATGTAAAAAAAATTATAAAAAAAAAAAAAAATTATAACAATATATTTTAAACTTAATAAAAAGGCAAACAGAAAATAAAAATCAGACCGGGTTGGTTTGAAATTAAACCATCAGAGTGCGTCTGATAAGATTGTTTTCCAGAAAATGATAACATATTTTTAAGATAAAATCACAGATCTGCTGATCTGCCGCGGATAAAATAAAATAATAACAATAACAAATTCCAAAAATGCGTCCAACTGCAGGTGTACCACCGTCCACCGCCAGAATCRATCCTAAAACAGAATTTACCTGAGCCAACGAGTCCACGACATAGATTAACAAGGCCTTTAGGTATAGAAGATTTTCTGTACATTAATTTATCATCGATTTGATGCACGCTTGCATTGCATAGCGGATTTTTCGGTGACCAACCTGTGTGGTGATATGTTTTTTTTTGGGACAACAAAATTGTCYTGCGTATTGGGCATTGTCCGTGGACCATTCGACCGTTTTGACGACTTGTCGTCGATCAGCTGAATGTGTTGTACTTTAGTATTCGGACTTTTCGGTCTTGAATCACGACGTCTACAGTAATCTTCTATCTGTCATACCCATACCTCATACCAAATTGCCGAATTTCTGAGAATACTGACGTACTGTACAGTGTATAAAGATTTGTAGATGCAAACATATAAATAGTASAATACTTTTAAAGCAATTTAAACTGTTTCATGCCTTTATTATTGTCTTGCCTGCGTCAAATGGGTTCATCGATTTTTCTTTGAGAATAGTTAAGACATTAACAGCCAGCAATATATCCCGTTTCGATTATGATGTGATGTGAACACAGTCTTTTATCATCATTAGACGACGTTGAATATATCAATAAGAATAATATGTAACAAAAACAACAACAGTTATTATTGACGCTAACGATAGCGCTACACTGCCGAATAGACTAGCCATCACAGTATAAATAATAAAGGTAATAAATATCACTATTAATAGTGTTAATATGTTATTTTGAATTTCTGATTATTTAGTATTAATAGAAAAAGTTACTTACCGGCGTTTTGTGTTGTTGCGTAATTTTTATCATTTCGTTTATGCGTTTTGTCTCTTGTGAGATTTCAAGACGTTGACGATAAATTGGCACGCAAAAACCTGAACTACGAATGATAGGTATGGATATTGTAATATTTATTTAAAATGGTCTACCTACCTATGTGGCTATGTGGTGGCAGATAATAAACATGATCATGTTTTATGCACCTGTTGTCGGCGGTTTTCCTAAATCTATATATTTTTGGCGAAAAAGAAAACCAATGGCAATAAGTACACATTAACATATATTAATCCATAGGTTCTTATATTTTTTTTAGACAATAAGGTATGTCAGAATAATTACATATTTTAATGTACATAATAATATGCACTGTATAATWMATTTATATTAATAGTAACTATGTTATTTTTTCTTAAAATTTTAAATTGAATTTTATTGACTTATTTGTCATAGSTACCTGTCTTAACTAAATGTATAAATTGCTTTCTTAAATATTTTGCACCATTTTGATATCAATCAATTTTATAACTTCACTACTTAGCTTTAACATGGATTTGTTTTTTGGTTTACAGTTGATATCAACATACATATCGTTTGCTTAATAATCAATAAAGATGGGTCAATTTATAAGTACAAATCGCAATGACAACAGCAATGATGAGCTTATTAATTCATTAATTAAGAGAGAGTATATACACACAATTAATGTGGAAAAAGTGTTCAGATGTGTTGATCGAGGATTATATTTTACTGATGATCATAAACTAAACGCTTATAGAGATACTGCTTGGCAATCTGGGGATATTCATTTGTCTGCTCCAAGTGTTTATGCTACTGTTTTAGAATGTTTGGATCTCCACAAGGGTGATAAATTTTTAAACATTGGTTCTGGAATAGGATATTTTAGTACTCTAGCTGGTCTTTTATTGGGTAAGTTCTTAATATTTATTGTACTACTTATTACCTATCCATTTATACTCTTTAGAGTTTAGATTGAGTTTCAACATTTTCCCTTATTTTTATAGGTGTTAATGGTGTTAATCATGGTATTGAAATTCATGGTTCTTCAGTAAATATTGCATACCAGAAGTTGGAAGAATTTAAACTAAAATCTGCAGCAATTGATTATTTTGAATTTTGTGAACCAGTATTCATCGAAGGTATAGTATAATTTATTAATGATTATAAAATAAGTACTTATAAAAAATAAAGATATTGTGAAAAAGTCTGAAAATTATTTTCTTTTAAATTTTAAAATTTATTTATTTTGGCTATAACTTCATAAAAATCTATTTTATAAAATAACTTAAATAAATTTAACAGACCTCGAAAATTGTTTTCGAGTTTTCCTTGTTGTCCAACAGGTCAATGGTTTGAAAACACCCACATTTGTTTTATTATACTTGCATAACTCATATCAAACAGAATTTAACTATTATAAAAAAAACTTTCAACAAAAAGATAGATGTTCTTACCATCAAGCTTCATAATAGTTATATTCACTTAAATTTTTAAGCTAATAGAATAAGACGGGAACTATCTAATTTGCTATATTACTAATTTGTAAGACTGAGACAACATATACTGGTGTGGCKTTCTCTTAAATGATAATTTATTGTTTTTGTCACTTAATATTTCTAAGGATATATTATTATGTACATWTACAGTGTTTGGGAAGTAATTTTTTTTGGTAATTAAATTAGATTACTAATTCCTTTTCAAAATTGTAACTAAGATACTTTTTATGGGCAGAAGTCAAGTTACATTACTTTGAGTTAAGAAGTAACTTATTAACAGTAAAAGTTACTTTTATGATATTGTGTTATGATATTCACATAATATGTGTATATATATATATATATATATATATATATAATGTATAATATATATTATACATTGATACATAATATATCAATAATTTTTGATGATATTAAAAGAAAGAAAAAATAACAAGTATTTTTGTAATATTACTACCAAAAAGTAATTTAAATTACTAATAAATTACTTGTAGTAATTTGTTGTTGAATTACTAACAAATTACTTAAAAAGTTACTTCGTTACAGTAACTTGTAACTTGAGTTAAGTTACTCCCCAATACTGCACGTATATTGATATAATATTCCACATTGCACTACTCTGTGCTATGAAATTACACAATTTGCTTCTGCATTCAAATGACAGAGCTTTGATGTATCTTACCCAAATTTCCCACGTCATATCATAACCATTATGTATTTCTCAAAATATTTTGTTTGATGTTTGTTCAGAGATATTGATGTATTTAATGTGCCACTAGGTTACTTTCTCTTCTACAGTACTTATATGGTAGGTTTAACTGAATTTTGGCAAAAACCTAACCTAAACCTATTAAATATTAATTATTATAATATATCATTATTATTATCATTAACTTATGTCAATATTGACATACCGTAGATGTTTATAACTTATATGAATATTTTTAAAATGTTATTGTATTTATAGGAAATGCTTGTGAACTGTTGTCAGTGGGTTACTATGATAGAGTTTATTGTGGAGCTGGAGTACCACCTGCAGAAAGTTCATTTATGAAGGCCCTTATTAAAGTACTGTTTTATTCAAAAGTAAATCTTAAATAATAAAATAAACTTTTCTCATCTATATTTAGATTGGCGGTGTATTAGTTATGCCATTGGAAGGGTTCCTTGTGAAAGTAATAAGAAAAAGTGAATACTTATGGAAAACAATTGAAGTTTTGGAAGTATCATTTACAGATCTTGTTGTGCCAGATAAATGTAGTATTATGAAAGTCGCAAAGTTTCGTAAGTTTTTTATATTATTGTAAATTGAGAATAAATAAATATCAAATTGTTGTTGTTTTTCAGCTACCGTTGAACCAATAACTTTACAAGAGCTATGCAGATCAAATATTCGTACATCCATACGAGATTGCTTGAATGAAAGTCATCCTGGCTTGCAAATGCGCACTAAATGTAAACCTAATACTAGTTATGATGAAAAATTTTTTAATGCCAATTCGTTAAGTCAAATTGTTCGCTTACAATATGGCCCTGTTGAAATTAATAGGGGAATAATAAGTTTACGAAACATAGTAGATACATTCGCTGGTTTAGATGAGGCAATATCAGATGGGGGTTCAACATCAGGAAATGAGACTATTGAAGAAGATAATGATGATGATAGCAACGACGATGATAGTGATGGTGATGAAGAATGTGATAAAAATTTACATCAGAAAACTGAATCAGAAACCAAAAGAAAATCGTCAGAAGCTGGATGTTCTGACCAAAATAAAACTTTTGCAGAAAACGCAGAAAACACAAAAAGAATGAAAATGAACTCACCTACAGTCAAACACTTCTTAAACAGCCAATCTACTAATAGCAGTAGTGATTTATGGGAGACTATATCTAGTGATGCATCAGAGCCTGATGATGATCACAACCTTGATGATTCTGATAGCTGGGTATCATCTGAAGAAAATGATCACAATGGTTTAAGACATGATGATTTTGGTGGAATCTATAACTCTTTGTTTAATACTGATGGTATCCATGACAGCGATACTGACAGTGAAGTTGCTAGAGAATTGTTATTATACCGCTTTCTGAGCGAACGCAAAGAAAACGAATTGAGTAAACTTTTGAAGGGTAAAATTGATCTGTTACCAGTACCAACTATGCTCAAACAGTTTCTCAATTATAACAAAGAAGATTAATTTGATTTATGGCTGTTTATAAAACATTTTTCTGTTATATTATCATTCGATTAATTAGTTCTTAATTGTATATAATATATATATCTCAACCATACATTTTTTTATAGTTTAGTTGTTATTTTAAGAACTCAAATATTATTTGTACATTATTAACTAATAACTACTATGTCTTAAACATATTACATTTTTTGTATCTTTTTAAGTATTCATTGTTTAAAGAAAGTGCAACCACCATATTCAAAGAAATCAATTTTCCCTTTCAAACTATTATAGACGTGGGATAGTTTAAAAAAAAATAMCMTAATATRTTAATATGTATTATGTTGTGTTGTGTTAAGATTTATTCTGGATTTTTTTTATTTTTTTTTGTTAAATAATTTATGTAATTTTATTTACCTTTATAAATAATAGCCAGGATATGATAATATATTATTTTTTTTGAATCATTTCAGTTACAATAATGTATATTTGATAATATTGTCAGATGTGTAAGTGTCACAATGATTAATATTCTAAATTATAATTATTTAAATGTTTAATATATTTGTAAACATCAATAAAGGAACGTTTTCATTATGATTTTCAAGAATTTTTATAGAGCTTTAATTTTTAATATTTCCTTTCTTTAATCATAGTTAAAGGAAAGCAGTAGCCAACATTGTACTCTTGACGTGGTAGAAGCTTATGTTAAAATGCATAATAATTTCTAAAAATTGAAATAAATTAACCAAAATTCTCAGTAGGGCTAAAATAAAACATTTATTATTATAGATTATATGTATTGAGGACTAGGTAGGATTTTGTTATTTTCATGCGTTAAGTTAACACAATAAGCAACACTGATAATAGAGAATAAACAGTATGTGCCTGACAGATAAGGTTGTAGAGAGTGTTATCTATGCCCTATAATATTTTTCCAACATAAAGTTGTTACAAACTAGTAGCTATATTTTAACAATGTATAATTTGATAATAATGAGAATAAGACAATAAATAAGTAAAAAATACATCAGCATTTGTAAAAAAAAAAAAAAAACATTAATACTTAGGAACAACATGTGAACCTGTAAACTGTTTGACTTTGCTGTCAATGTTCATTGATTTACTGATAGTGTATGATAAATCATCAGGATAAAGTTTCGCCAAATCACTAATTGGCACAAAAGCGCACAATTCATGACTGTAATGTGTGAAAAACTTGCCAATGTTCTTGAAACTGTAATCGTATGGTTTTAGTTGTCGTTGCAATTTTTCTGTAACAAATTTGTTGTTATGGTTCAGAAACTATACCTATTACAAATGTGTATAGATTATACTTTATAGCAACAAAGCATCAAGTTAATACAAAAAATATTATTTAGAACAAGTTGATAAATAGAATATAGTAGAACCTCGTTTATCCTAACTAATTGGGACCGCACCTAGTTCAGATACGCTAAAGTTCAAATATTAGAAATATAAAATTAAAAATATGTATAAATTATTGATTATATTTACAATAAAATATTTATTATTATTATTCATATTTTATTAGAATTACATACATTAGATTATCAGAAATACATTACATTATTAGAAATCATCAAACGGCATTTTCATTACTTTATCGTTTAATTAAAATTATTTTATGTTGTATAAAATGTTATGAAATTAAATAAATAAAATTATTTAAAATATAAAAATACCTATATATTAGCATTAAACTTAATAATTTTGACGAAAATTGTATATCATTATTTTATTATTTATTATAAAAATATTTGTTTTGGTCGAAAAGGGAATCGACCTATTTTTATTTGGTCATAAAGAAAATTGACTTATTAAAAATTTTGTTGAAAAGAGAAGGGTACGGTTTTGGTGGAAAATGGAGAATCGCCTCTAATAATAAGTCAAAAACAGTAGTTATGATAGATTCGATAAACCAGTCCACCCATTAGCTGACCGCACGGATATGAGTTTTCACGTTCGGGTCCGCTAATTATTGTTCTGATAATAAAGGATTTGTATGACAAAGGTTTGGATAATCGAGGTTTTCTGTAATACAAACAATTTATTGTATCACATTAAAATAACACAAGACATAACTATTAGCAGCCAAAGATGTTTAATTATATTTATAAATAGTGTAAAAATTATTTTTTTGAATTGCATTATTAATACACTAATACTATACTTGTTGTTTATTAAAAAATGATGATAAAAATGTACCATTGATCAAATATTTCTTTAAAAATAGTAAAAAGTATAAATTTTCACAAGAAGAGTATAATATGATTTAACTAGGTAAAGTTGAATTATTATAAGCTTAATAATGTTTATGGGAGAAATTTAAAATTCTGTATCCTACACATTATTGTGCATCAGTTAACAATAACATTAATCCACCCTCATCTATTCACTTTTTAACAAATGTTCATATCCCTCCCAATAATAAATCCTGAAAATGGGTCTGCAAGTAGGTACTAATAAACTCAAAACCAATTAAATGTATGGTATATAATACTTCTCAGAAATCCCGGTTCTCTAAGATAGATAAATATATTTGAATATGGTTTTTTTTACAGCTGAAGTATGGAAATTTTAATGGARTGGTAGAAGATTCAATTTTTTTGTTTTAAAAATTAAAAAAGCAATTTTTATGCAATCAAATTTTTTAACTTCTCAAGATGGTATTTCTTTGATCATATTCTTTGGATAATTTTTTTTTTTTAAATACTTTAATTTTGAGTGAAAATCAACCAAGTTCAAGCAAATTAGGTTGTTAACTTTGTAAGAATAATAGTTATATTAGAAAAACACTAAATGATACAATTTAATTTTTCTTGGGATTTTTTTTATGTCAATCTACTTAGTACCTATTTTCTATTATATTTAAAAAATGATTTATATGTTCACAGTACATGATAATATTAACATAAGATGTTGCTCCCAAGATAATGAAAAATTCTGGCTATAGGAGCTACAAAGCTATGGAATTGAGTATTCATATACWATTGTACATGTTATATTAATAGAGTGATGTCTCAATTTTTGGAAACAGGTAAAATTTCATAATCCTCTAGTTATAAAATTTCAATTAATACATTTTTTCAAAGCTCCTCTGATAATAAAATATTTATGGATTCTCTTAAAATGTTTCAATAATTTATGTTGATTAAATCATATGATTTGTATGATGTATGTAGTATGTTCAAATCTTTAGCATAACTAGGTATTATTCTAACAAAGTCAACAACTTAATTTTCTTTGATTTGGTATATTTTTGCTCAATTTTTATAATTTGTATACTCAAGCCATTTTGAAAAATATGATCTAGCTATATGTGAAATTTAATAACTTATCTAATGTGAAACACTCACTTTTAGATAATTTTACACTTTWAATTTATTATTAATATTAATATTAGTGATAGACTACAAACTACAAAAATAATTTTTCTGCTAGTCGATTWTTAAAGGAAAAATATATGCTTAATAGATTTTCATATAAAATTTCATATTGTTTCAATAAAACCTTTTTGCTTYGAGCTCACCTATATTATAATCTGAGTAACCTAACTCATTAAATAATTAAAATTAAGAATTAGTTAATTTAAACAATACATGAAAAATCATTATGATTAATGTTTGTTTTTAAATAATGAAACTCTTTATTTAGGTATTGAAATCTGAGAAAAACATTAATTCTTTAAAAAAATTATTTACAGCTAATAATCAAAATCAATTCTAACTTCTAACATACCATATCTGCCTTCCCATATAGCTTTGATAACAGGGTTTTGATATTTGGCTGTACTGAAATAATGATCAGGTCTGATGAGCACATGGTAAACAGTTGGATTTGGCAATGGATTGTTACTGGGCACTCTTGTCCAGCCCACAACAACACCACGTTTAGTCACTATACTTGAACAAGAGCCATTACCCATCGTAATGGTATCAATCATCATGCCAATCGAATATTTTGGATCATGAATCTCACCACGTTTTTTAGGTACTAAAGGGAAAATTTCTTGCCACTAATTGTTAAAAGAAGTTTTATGTTAAATATTTCAGCCATCAAAATATACAATAAGTTTTATGACTTACATCTGTGTACATAATGTTCTTTTCATCTACATGGTTTGGAGCCTGAAAATAGTTAAATTATAATGATTTTGAGAAATACAAATTATAAATGTATCTGATAGTAATGTAAAATGATAATGTAAAGTATTGCAAAATAGTAGAATACTCACGTAAGGATTAGATGGATTTCTGAGTAAGGGACATCGACAATAGTCATAATACTGATGGAATTTCTGACATTTAATTTCAACCTCGGAATCATCAGGTTTTAAGAGTTTTTGGAAATCCAACACATATTTATACGTAGCCATATTTTCAATAGTGAGCTGTTCCACAGTTTTACTAAAGGTCCAAAACAACTAAAAAWATATATATACATACATGTTCTATATATATCCTTCAGTAAACTTAATTTTCTTTACATAATTGTTTTTATCGAAAAATAATAATTAATATTACATATTACATATATAATTAGTAATAACATATTATTTGGTAGTTCAGTATGTATAAGTACAGTCAGACAGTCAGAAACAGTTATTTTAATATAAATTTTTAAAACAATCGCGCAAACTCACGCAATTGGATGATTTAATTTTAAATTGGTATAAAACAAAATATAAGTAAGATAAAATAAAAAATTTCAAAAATTTCTGAAATATATTAAGCTAGTTAAAATAAATTTTGATTGACAGTTCTAGAGATTTTTAAAGTTACAAATATTAAGTATAGTTTTAAAAAAGTTTTCTAATTTAAAGACATTACTTGGGGAACTAAAATTTATAAAATTAAAACTTTGTGGTGCATCTAAATTTAACCTATGCATATTTATAAACTGCCTATTTAAGTGATGCAGGACCTCATATATACAATGCCTACATTTGTGTTATAAATTTTGAAATATCCAAAACAACATTTGCTGAATTCAGAACTTGGTAGATAGCACTGCTTTTGTAAGGGTAAAAAAGAAGTAAATATTATTTTTTAAATCATGAGGGTAAGAGGTCTTTCTATCCTTAAAATAATGTACTAACAATAAATCCATACACATAATACATAAACAGTATCTAACAGTCCATGAAGTTTTGACATTTTTTAGAATTGTAAAATTAGTTAGGTTATTTATATTAGTTTTGTATAATTTTAAATGTATCTATAATTTATATTATATTATAAAATAAATATTCTAATGACTAATTAAAAATACATAAAACACATACAGAAAAATAATAATCAAGATCAAATTTAAAAAAGTGGGTAAGTGGGTATCGCTCTGGTGTATAGTAGGTTAGGTTAGGTGTTACAATGGATGTGTTAAAATTGAATGCAATGACACGTATCATTGTACACGAAAAATCATTCTGAGTAGAGATGATTTGTTAGTCTAAGATATATTATATTACCTATATTTAAATTATAATATATTTTTATACGCTCAAATAATGTTTGGACAACCTTGTGTTGGGTTAAATAAATAAATAAATCACATCAATTTTATGAATTTTTAACTTCATAATTCTATGCAAATGTTCAYGATTTTGACATATTTCGTAAACAATTGAACTTTAAATGCTTATAAACACAAATTATGACTAAAAATTTTTTATTACAATAAGTACAACTTATAATTAAGCTTGTATTAAATTTTATAGATTTTTTGGAAATTTTTTTCTTAAACTTGAATCTTACTAAAACTTTTAAACATTTATAAATTTTAATTTCAATKAACTTTTTTAATTTAACTCGAATATTCAAGTATGACTTTGTTTAACACTATACGCTATTCAAACTTTTAAGATGTTAAAATTTAAAATTAATTTTTTCTCTAATTCTGAACAGTTTTATTGTTTGAAGTTTTCTATCGTATCTACTTAAAGGTAAAAACTGCCACAATCTTTCAAACTCTCATTACCAATGAATAGTTAATATCCTTTATTTGAGTTAAACCCGTACTGTGTAATGACTAGTTTTTGTTGGTCAAACCAGACATGTTTGTCAGCCGCAGTGAGTAAGTCAACTATCTATATACCTGYGTTTTAGTTATTTTAGGTCCCTGTGCATAAGTCGGTAGTCGAGTACAGTTCTTAATTAAAATAGATCAATAATGACAATTTTCAATAGACTTAATGAATAAATGAATATTTTAAAATACTGCCAGGGCCGGCTCAAGGTATAGGCGAGCTAGGCACCTGCCTAGAGCAGCACTTTAACAGGGGCGGAATTTTAAAAATTTTAATTTAATTTAATTTTAAAAACCAAGTTACCTATAGTTACAATGAAATACTTAAAAAAATATTATATAATGATTATAAATACATAATAAAATATTTATAATGTTGTGTCAATATTCGTAAGGCCGATGCGATGAAAAACAAAACTGTTTTTTTTTTTAAGTTCAGACTTGTCCGGAAAGTATGGCCGATGCGATAACGCATTGAACGCTTTCCAGTTTTGACATGCCAAATCATGTTATGGTTTTGTTTTATATTTTTATCGCATCAGCAGCATTTTGTATATTGTATTTTCGTTTAATTTGTATCTAACTTTTATTTCATTGTGACTCGTGCTCGATTCTTGATGGCAAACACAAGCAAAATATCTGACACAAAATTGAAATTTAGTTGATTTCTTAAGAAAGTAAAATACTATCGGCATATTGTATATATTTATAAAACTAAGGTTCAAATAAWGATTAAATGACCAAATATCAAAAATATTTTATAAACAATAAATATTTGATTATATTATGAATTCTTAAAATGTAAATATGTGTACCTACCTAATGAATTTATTATATAAAAATAACCCAATAGTTCCAACACTACTTGTTATTTCTTTAAAACAAAAAATAAAAATATTTTTCATGTAGGTACCAATGTCNACAAATTCTCGTTATTTAATTGCCACACCTCGTATATTACCTATATTTAAATTATAATATATTTTTATACGCTCAAATAATGTTTGGACAACCTTGTGTTGGGTTAAATAAATAAATAAATCACATCAATTTTATGAATTTTYAACTTCATAATTCTATGCAAATGTTCAYGATTTTGACATATTTCGTAAACAATTGAACTTTAAATGCTTATAAACACAAATTATGACTAAAAATTTTTTATTACAATAAGTACAACTTATAATTAAGCTTGTATTAAATTTTATAGATTTTTTGGAAATTTTTTTCTTAAACTTGAATCTTACTAAAACTTTTAAACATTTATAAATTTTAATTTCAATKAACTTTTTTAATTTAACTCGAATATTCAAGTATGACTTTGTTTAACACTATACGCTATTCAAACTTTTAAGATGTTAAAATTTAAAATTAATTTTTTCTCTAATTCTGAACAGTTTTATTGTTTGAAGTTTTCTATCGTATCTACTTAAAGGTAAAAACTGCCACAATCTTTCAAACTCTCATTACCAATGAATAGTTAATATCCTTTATTTGAGTTAAACCCGTACTGTGTAATGACTAGTTTTTGTTGGTCAAACCAGACATGTTTGTCAGCCGCAGTGAGTAAGTCAACTATCTATATACCTGYGTTTTAGTTATTTTAGGTCCCTGTGCATAAGTCGGTAGTCGAGTACAGTTCTTAATTAAAATAGATCAATAATGACAATTTTCAATAGACTTAATGAATAAATGAATATTTTAAAATACTGCCAGGGCCGGCTCAAGGTATAGGCGAGCTAGGCACCTGCCTAGAGCAGCACTTTAACAGGGGCGGAATTTTAAAAATTTTAATTTAATTTAATTTTAAAAACCAAGTTACCTATAGTTACAATGAAATACTTAAAAAAATATTATATAATGATTATAAATACATAATAAAATATTTATAATGTTGTGTCAATATTCGTAAGGCCGATGCGATGAAAAACAAAACTGTTTTTTTTTTTAAGTTCAGACTTGTCCGGAAAGTATGGCCGATGCGATAACGCATTGAACGCACTCGCTTTCCAGTTTTGACATGCCAAATCATGTTATGGTTTTGTTTTATATTTTTATCGCATCAGCAGCATTTTGTATATTGTATTTTCGTTTGATTTGTATCTAACTTTTATTTCATTGTGACTCGTGCTCGATTCTTGATGGCAAACACAAGCAAAATATCTGACACAAAATTGAAATTTAGTTGATTTCTTAAGAAAGTAAAATACTATCGGCATATTGTATATATTTATAAAACTAAGGTTCAAATAAWGATTAAATGACCAAATATCAAAAATATTTTATAAACAATAAATATTTGATTATATTATGAATTCTTAAAATGTAAATATGTGTACCTACCTAATGAATTTATTATATAAAAATAACCCAATAGTTCCAACACTACTTGTTATTTCTTTAAAACAAAAAATAAAAATATTTTTCATGTAGGTACCAATGTCACATAAAAAATAGGGGGMGGGGCTAAGTTTAAATTAGAGCTCGATTTTTTTTTTAGAGGCAGCAAAATTAGGTTTTACCTAGTGTACTATTTTTGTTTGAGCCGTACCTGAATACTGCTGATTCAGGAGATTGAGTATTATAAACCAAAATAATATCTTAAAATTATAATATAGKTACATTCTGTATACATAATAATGATARCAAAAATGATACTTAATMATACATCAATACATACAAGATGTAAAAATTCAAATTGTACTAAAGCATTTGTTTATACAATGAATTTTTTTTTACTATGACGAGTTAGGTACAAGTATGAGTATTAAGCTTTGAGTCAAAAAATATTTTTGTAAATTAGATGTACTTACATCGATAACAGAATTTCCATTATAATGTTCTGGCAATTTTCTTGAAACTGGACAAACTGTAGCCTTTCGCATGAGACCACCACCAGCAATATCTACCAAGTAGCATGTAGGGTTCTTACGTTTGTTTCCCGGCCATGAAGATGACCAAGATACAAAATTGTGAACAGATGTTGCAGTTAAACGAACTTTTACTCCTAATCGTCTAGCTACTGATTCGAATATCACACATAGCAAAAATACAGAACCTTTTCTTCGATCAATTACCTAGATTAAATTCATTGCATCATAATTAATTATGAATAATGAAATCATTTAGATGAAAATATATACCTGTTGCAACAAGAAACAATTTAAGTCATGGTTACAATAACAAACCCGTTGATTTTCTGAAAATATGGTTTGTCTTATGTTATCAAGTATAAACATTGTGTTGGTCTCATCAAATAAATCATGATCAAGATTGAATTTTGCACGTTCAACCACTCGCTTCAAACAGTTTTCATGCTCGAATAGAGGATGATCTGGGTTTACTATACGAATGCGATTACACACATCAATAGCTATGTTATTCAAACTTTTGTCTGTCAAAAATATAAGTAACATAATTATCACCATTCATTATAAATCTATTAAAATATTTTTTTTTTTTTAGTGTAGACTTACTTATATCACGATATGGTATGTTAACCGTAGGACACCACCAACGTCCAAGTAAGTAAAATCCTTTTTCAACAATTTGTTCTGCAGGTGGTAAATTTAAGAAATTAGTTAACTTATAACCAAAATACACTTGACACGAGTAAATAAGAAATTGATGTGTCATGTACATTAGATCATAATTTGAATTACCACTGAAAGGGATAAAAATAAATTTTGGTAAGTTAAACATTATTCTACTTTACTTAGACCATCAAAAATACCATTCACTACTCTGTTGTAGTTGCTTATAATAAGCTGCAGTTGCTGATAGTATATAATATCTATGGCCTTCATTTTTTGAGTTCAAATATTGACTAAACGGATACATATGATACGGTACATTCTTAAACTTCATGTACTTGCAGGGCATTTGTATAATTTCAGCAGGTACAGCTTTATCCAAACTTTTACGCAACATGATCTCGTCCTTCCAAGTGTTTTGTTCGTCGATAACAACTTCATATTCCTCATTGTCCAACAAACCGTATCTAACACAAACAAAATATCTGTTGTAACTAGGTAAGTAAAAAAAAGTACATTAAAAAAGTATGGGTACTTTTGTATGAATTTGGATTTCCAAAGGCTAGAGTTTCGTTCGTGGAACAAGCAGTTGTTGAGTTTGGAATGCGAAACAGCAAGATTAAAAACGTCAATCAATTTCAACGAGTCAAAGCAACAAATGTACTCAATCAATTCGGTGGGTAAGTCCAGGATAGTGGTAGAAGCGGTATTGTTAGAGCTGGTGGTCATAGTATCTGCAGACTCAGCAGAGTCAGTGGACGAGCATGCAGAGACGACGACGAAATCGTCATCGGGTTCGCGTTGTCGTTTCAGAGAGGTGGTCGTCATCGTACCGAATTTGATCTTCAAATTTCCATTCAAACGGCCCTCGCAACTGCAACAACGATCGAAAAAGCGGGTACCGAGAGTCTGCCCTAAAAGTCGGCGCTGACCGCTTTCGTCCGTGAGAGACGTTTAGCAAATTAAAAATTGGAGCACCGGACCTCAATCACAGTGCTGAAGCTAGYCTAACCTGTGCCGTTCTGAATCACTGAATGAACTCGAAGTACCGACCACAGAAACTCGAAATGCGGCCGTCGCAGTGTCGCACTGTCAGTGAGCGATACAGAAATKATATTTCGTTAGTGCGTCGTCGCTAACGCAGTACTCGGTCACGAACGACGCGCACTCACGGTTCACACRCGGAAACAACAACAATAATAACAAGTAAACGTCGGGTGATAAGATGTAAAAGGTGAGAGAAGCGTCAACTGATGAACACAAATAATTATGATCAAAATAAGTGGCCTGTTGCAAGTTACAAGTTACAATTTTCAGCCTTGTAGAATAGATATTGCCTGCGATCAAAATTACTCAAAACCGTGTAGTACCTAATATTATATATATTGTAATATAAGCAAATAATACTCAAAAAAAATCAAAACGTAAGGACATGTTGCATTGATSTACATTATACATTATAAATCAAWTATTATAAAATAATATTGGTAAATGACTAATGACTAATGAGTTATGATTTATGACTAAAAAATATTATCTTTATTTTTCTGTAGGCTGTTTCCTGTTGGACTGTTGTCTGTTTGTCCGGTACTCCGGTTGTAGATGTTTTATTATCTACGTTGTTGACTTAATTGTGAGAAATTTGATAAAAGAAAAAAATATAAATCAGAGATAACGTAAATCAAACAGTAATGACCACGGCTTAAGATAGAATCTTCTATCTTAAGCCGTGGTAATGACTAATGAAGTGTAATGATGGCAACACGCCTCTATAAGATTTTTTTTCGCTCTTTTTTCTATTGAATTGAATATAATATTTTTAATTTCGCAATTGTTCCACGACTTATAATAGCATATWAGCAAGCCTACGAAATTCCAACAAAAATGCCGTATAGAAAAATAATTATGACATCAATATGACAATATTCAATAACGGTCCACTGTAAATTATTAAAGGTGGTTTAAAAATAATATAGATCAAATAATGATTTTATAATTATTAAGCTTCTAAATATTTAGTATACTTGATTAATATTAATACCTACCATTAAACATTTTATGCTAATAAAAATTTCAGAGTTTTTTATGTACCTAGGCACTAACTCAACTACAGATAATATTATTTAATATGCTAATGTTATAATGTTAAAAAGACTATTTTATTTTAAAACCATTTGGACATTATTCAGAGATATTATTTATTAATATTACCAAYCCTTAAAACATAAATAAAGCTTAATAATTAAAAAACTACAATGTATTAAATTCAAAAATCAGAATTAGAATAAATGCATAATAAAAACTTTTTAAAGTCTGATAAATTTATRTTTCAATAAAAATAAATAAAATCGTGTTAAAAAGACGCTACCTACTCATAAATTTGTTTTTTTTTTTTGTTGCACAAAGTTTAAACGAATGACGTATCAAATTTTCCTTTACTAGTTTCAGTAGTGTGCTATAAGTCTTAATATTAATATGAATCAAATTTGTATGTATAACATTTTTCTGTCATTTGTGATATTCTACATATCAGAGCATATTTTAAGTAATGTTTATTGGGTGGCACTCCGTTTAAATGTCCTACTTTAGGAATACAGATATAGTCATAGAGGCAATTTGAGGGAGTCTTGGATATGGCTTAGCAACCCGAACTTTGTATTCAGCACCTTCAAATTTTAACTAACATTTTAAGTTGATTTTCGTAACCATAAAATAAGATGAAAAAAAGTAGAAGGGTTTTAGCACCCCCAGATTTTTCATTGAAATTTCGCGCCTGGGTGTAGGTGGACTAGGTGGAGTATAGGTTTTTGGTTGTTAATACCACCTGAACAAAATCTTAATACAATCATACAAACTATATACAGTCACTCTATTATAAATTGTTTCTAATGAAATCATAAAATCCATTATTCACATTCATTTAATGACTAATGTTCTAATATYATAAACCTTAATAATATTTATCATTAGGTCAATGATTATGCATTATCAATTTATCTATATTATTATTATTATTATTAATACAGTAATATATATATATATATATATAAGTTATATATTTATAGTTAAAAAATGTAATTATCTACTAGAATAAAGACAATTAATAAGTAAGTGAAGGCAGTGGAACTGTCAGCTGTGAGTGATATTTTTACCACAATTTAATCAAAATGTTTATATCTACTAAGTATGCTGTTATCGGAACAACTAACTAGTATATTAAAAAATAATACGACTTAATGAGGTACCATTAGATTACCCATTACCATTATTTATTATATTTTGCCTACTAAAAAATTAGCTGATAAATTGCAATACCCACATAAAGTAAAACATAATTTCATAGTTAACACTACAATTTGTTTTTCGAAATTCTGGGCAAGTGCTAATCATTCACCTTTGTTACTAAGAGTGAAAAAACTTATTTGTATAATTTTTATTTTTATTTTAAATAATTTAGAAGGAATAAAAAATGTCTTAATATTAATTTTATTTGTTCTTAGCACCTTTTAATTTTGATTTCTGAATTAAATTTTTAAATATTTAGGTATACACTTGCACTATGTATAAACTGATTATTATAGTATAGTTCAAATCAATTTACTGTAATAAGTATAGGCTAAAACTTAAATGTACACGTAGGATACTACTATAGGTAGGTACTAGGATGTATTATGTACGCCACTGGCAAGTGTTAACTTCTCCGGGGGAAATAACGTCAAAAATCTAGCCGCCGGACCGGGAATCGAACCCAGGTCTCTCGCTTGCCGGGCGATTGCTCTACCACTAAGCTACCCGACCGCATAGACCTAAGACGCTATTATCCCCAAGTTAACGGATGTTTACACAAGTTATTCCAGTTTGTCGACACCCAGGCTTCCAACCAAAAAATGAGTTTTCAATGGTTTTAAAAATAGCTCAATGCATTAATATAATGTCGATTTAATAATATTGACTGCGTGTTTCTTCGAGAAAAAAAGCCTTCTTGGTATAGTAATTTATAAAATATACAACAACCGGGTACTTTATAATATATATATAGTATCAACTATATCTAGTATAGAAATAGAAGTATCTACTTTGCTATAGC